CTTTTATTCACTCAATTATCTCTGCTTCTACCCTCCAAGTTGAAGTGTTCCTCTTTTATCTTTATTTTTGTTATGATCATTTTGGTTTTCTCTTTCATACTGAGATTTGCTTGAGTGATCTTTACATCCCAATTCTATTCGGTAGAGAGGAACATGTTTGTGTGCCAGCGCACCTTTGCTAACTTTGTTGATTGGTGGACTGCGATCAGTAGCTGGAAGCAGGCCAGGGGGAGGTATTCTAAAATGTTGGTGTGTAACAACTTTTCTCTGGGGACGCTACATTACTTTAGAAAAGAAATTCTGCGTTTTGCATTTTAAGAGTATACATCTGGAGAAATGCATCACATGGTGGGCAGGCACGAGGGTCTTGACTGCTCTGTGCAGACTTCTAACCAACATCCCTAGTTGCACCGCAGCGCTTCATTCTTTGCTGCACATAGCACGTCTTAACTTAAAGTTTTTCCAGAGTTCTACTTTCCTCCAATAAATCAATTCTTATTCTCTCACTTCTCATTTAACTTTCTAAGGAAATGTTAACATCTCTTGTCTGACATTTCTTCCCCAGCTCTCCTGGTACTTGTGGCTTTATACTTATTTTGTTAATGTACTGTCATTTTAGTGGAACCTTCAGAGAAAACAGTTACAAAACACATGTCGTGTGTTCCAAAGCCCATAGTTTGAGGTTTTATTTCATCTCTTCCTTTCTTCTCCTCCTCTATTATCTTTCCCCTAACATTGTACCTGATTCTTGACCACAGTACTATTCAGAAATAAATTTTAAATTCACCTATGTTATTTTAAAAACTTCTGGCTGACTCATTCTACCGTTATAAAGTAAATAAGGTTTAAGAAATTTTTGTAAATGAAGAAAAATAAGCTATAATTAAATTTGAAAATTTTCACTTCAAATGCATTTTAATTTTCTTTCTTGTGAGTCTCCTGTTAATCTCTCCACGTCACAGCAGTGCAGACAAAGTACAGGGTCTTCACATTATGGATCAGTTTTGAGCATTGCATAGTTTATTTTTCAGTTCTCATAATCTGCGTCTTGCCAATTACTTAAATACACTGACCCTGGGGCATGGATAAGAAAGAATACTGAGATCATTATCTTTTCAGAAGAGTTGTAGAACACCCTTCATGTTCTTTATTTTGTAAATTTTATTTTCAGCACTCTTTGGGTAGGTAAGTGGTCATTATTTTGACAGGCACTTCAACAGTTCCTAGCAATCTATTCTAGTTCTTCCCTGTCTGCAAACCACCGCACACTTCTTCCTGGCCATCAAAACAAAAAGTTAAGACATGAAAAGTCTAAGTCTATCTCATTTTCCACAAGACATCGGTGATAGTTTTCAGATATTTGAAAATAGCAACACTAATCCTCTTTTGACACTTGTCCCTCCTCCAGGGTAGTAAACAAGGGGAAATAGTATACTCGACATGGGTCAACCTGCACAGAAGAAACGGGCTATGATTTCACTTGTTATAGGTCATTCTTAACTCAGAACAAATCGAATTGGGCTTTTCAAGGTGTCTACAGCAGGTAGGTTTGCTTACATCCCAATGTATTATTTCTAATGTGCAATTGTTGATAAGCTTCTACATATGAAAACTAATTGTGGTACCTATGTATGAGAATTTATATTCAATTTAGCAAATGTTAATCTTTTAATTTCAGCTCATCTTTTCAAATTTCAAAAATCCTTTTTGAATCCTAATTCAGAGAACATTTCTCTCCCAACCAAAATTCATTAATACTAGATTATAAATTTGAATATTCTACCTTATATGTCTTCATCTGAGTCACTGATGACGAATTTGAGTCGAAAAGGTCAAAAAGAAAGCCCTATGAATTATCCTCAGGGACCTTTATTCAGCTCGATATCAGTCCATCAGTGAATTCTATTTGACTTCAACTGGTCAGCTGATTAAATCAGCCTAATTGTACTATTTTTAAATTCGTTTCTATTCATCATGGGTGCATAATAGAAAGTTAGTCAAATGTTTTGATAAAATCATTTCCTGGTCTGCCAGTTCATTAAACTTTTTGTGAAAGCTCATGAGAATAGTTCAGCATAATTTCTTCTTTGTGAATTCAGCATGTATATATCAGTTATTGCTGCTAATTGCTCTTAAAATATCCATCTAATAATACATTCCAGAGATCTTTCGGTTTACTGTGTCAGGGTCAGGACATCTTCACTCTTTTCTCCTCTCTGAAACTAGCCAAAAACAATAAGGCAAATTAGTTATAGAAACTAAAATTGTCATTTTTGCTCCTTTTTATTTCAGTGCTGGGGATCCAACCCAAAGCCTTGCATATGCTGAGCTACATCTGCAACCCTAAAATTTAATCTTTGATGTAACTGGAAGGCCTGTATAACCCGGATTCTTCAAAGTAACATTTGATTCCAAACACAGTGAAAGGAAGATCAGGATGAAGAAAGCACTAGGAATAAGTATAAGAATAAAAGAGAAAGAATTTCAGAAAGTAGGTGGCATGGCATGTGAGAAAAGCATCATCTTTGCTTTTAAATAAAATCAGTTTCAGTCTGCTTCATAGTGAGAACGTCCTGGAATTCTGTTTGAACAACACACAATGGCAGAGGAGGTAGAGACTGGAAAATTCAGCAATGTAACACCAAAAGTGCACACACACACACACACACATCTGTACCATACATAGAGTGCTTTCCTATGAGCAAGGAAAGTTCTTGCTGGGTAGAAGCAGAATCATAGGGAGTAGGGCTCAGAACAGTTTACCCAGACAAAGATGATAATTATAAACTCTCTACTTCTCACCACTATCCTGTTCACTCTCTTCCATGCCCGCAAAGGATGTTTCCACACAGAATAGGGTTAGAATCTATTCGCTAGAACAACTCCTTCTAATGTAACTTCAAGTAGTAACTCAAGACAGACTATGTGATGGTAATGCAGAATAGGCGCAAATGGAGGAAAACGGCCAACACAGCATTACTGGAGACTACCGAAAAGAAACATGGGACATATGGAGATTAAGTCATGAAAGACAAAATAAATTTAAGATAAAATAATTGTACCATAGAAATAAAGGTGAATAAACACTGTTGAAAATAGAAGATATGCTTAAATTTGGAAAAAATTTCAAGTGTAAAAGAAAGAGTTAAACTTTACTAGAGAAGAAATGGTAGGCATGGAAGAGTAAAGCAAGCTCTGTCCTGTGCATAATCTCTGCTTCTGGGCAGAGAACAGACAGAAGAAATATGTTTCCAAGAAAGCTTTCCCAAAACATAGAAGGTATTTAATGTATAGACCTAAAGGGCAATATGATTCCTAGGAAAAATTAATACATGTTGATCAGGATATATCCTCATAAAGTAACTGGACTTCACAAATGAAAAATATGTTTATATGGACTCCTAGACCATTGAATCAAGTTTCCTATGCTGTGAGAAATTCTCAAGCTGGCTCTAAATATCTGGATAACAACATTTAGTGCCAGAATTAAGTATAGAAATCATACAGGATCAGTCGAGAAAAAGAATCTGACCCACTGATTGTACAAGAGCCAAACTATAATTCAAGAATAAGAATAACAGACACACGGTTTACACATGCAAGAAAGTAGGAAATATGGTTCCCATGAGACCTTCTCAAAGAAACTTCCAGAAGTGAGCCTTGAAATAACTAATCAATGGATAGAAAAATGGATAAAAGCAAAGAACTCATTTAAAAATAGAATAATGACTAAGCAACTATAGGACTTTTGGCTGCATAAAGGACTATAAATATACTAAAGCTTGACAAGGCATACAGAATAATAGAACAAAGTTGAGAGATAAAAAGGACTGGTAGAGAGATAAGGTAGAACAAATATACTGATTTCCTTATATCTTGTAGTAGATGGGTGATATTCTTTCATAGCTAACAAATCAATGTATGGAGGAGTAGATATATACTAGGATCACAAAAATAACAAGAGGTAAAGTACATGGAGAAAACAGAGATACGTATTTTCTTCTTAATTTATAGAAGAGCTAATAAGGTCTATTTAAATAAGTGATTGAAATCTATTCCAAATTTTGCTAACTCACCTTTCTGGACTCTATGGAATGCATCTTTTCCCCTAGATTGAAAAATCTTCATTAGCATGTCTCCACAATTCTTTGAAGAGTACTGAAGTAGTTCTGGTATCGTATCTGCCAGTTCGTCATCTAAATCTAAATACCCGAACTCATTTAAAGCATCCAAGGGGGACAATCTTGATTTCATTGTATTCACAGATCATTCCTACCGATCTCACTGGTTTACTTCCCCTCTCTTCTTTCCCATTCATGCACCAATCCAAGCAATGTTCATTCAGCTTTCACAGAGTCAGATGCTGTTCAGGGGTGCAGGAAAAGCCCTGCCCTCAAAATGTGCATAATCCAGTAAGGAGGCAGACCAATAGCTTTAATACAAATACATTTCTTAATATCAGGAGTGTCTCCCCACAGAAAAGCTAAATTTATCTGGATCATTCCAGAAATGTTTTCTGGAGAGAGGACCATTTCATTTAGTTCTTGAAGAATACGTTTTCACTAGGGAGGGGAAGAAAACATCTCAGGTGGAGCATGTAAAATAAGAAAAAAACAGAAGGAATGATGACCACGTGGGTTTGAGCGTGATATGAAAGCACCGGGAAGCAAAGGCCAGAGATGGCCCCAGAGGTCATTTTCTGGATCAAAGTAGAGTCCAAGCTTCTGGGTTACATTGTAAGTAACAATGAGTTTGCCTTGAGTTTAGCAGCGTCCCACTTAGGTTTGATCCCAGACCACAAGACATTCACCCCTCAGTGAAGCTTGCTCTTTCCTTCGCTCCAGGTTGCCAAGAAACACTCCCGTTGAAAACTGGATTGTTGACCCCAGTGAATAGCACACAGCCCTGCCCACTTGCCACAGGCCATGAGCTCCCCACTCCTGGTCCCAATACAGCTTTCTCAGGGTTTGCTTCCCAGCCCCTCCTCTGTTGGGTCTCACCTTTGTCTCCAGGGCCTCCGGAGCCTTCTTGCCTTCCCAGGCCCAACTTCTCTTGGTGAAATAGTTGACAGTGGCGAATTCGATCAGCGCAGAAAACACAAAGGCATAACAGACGGCTATGAACCAGTCCATGGCCGTCGCGTACGCCACCTTAGGTAAGGAATTTCTAGCACTGATACTCAAGGTGGTCATGGTGAGCACTGTGGTGACACCTGGGGAGAGAGATGACAGCACTCAGTTGTGAAGGGAAGACACTGAGCATGTGTTTATTGTGACCACCCACTCCCTACTCGGAAGAAGGAACTTTATTCCGTTCACCGCTAAAGTAAAATACAGAGAATGTCAAAGCTGAATGAGCCTACCCGCTAACCACCCCACAGAGAATGTTTCCAGGAAAGCTTTCCTGCAACATAGAAGGCAATCAGTCGATAGACTTAAAGGGCAATATGGTGTCCCAGGAAAAATTAATACCTGTTGGTCAGGATATATCCTTGGAAAATAGCTGGCTTCCCAAATCAAAGATATATTTCCACAGACTTCTAGACTACGGAATCAAGTCTGCTTTCTCACGCTAGCTCAGGAATAGGAACAGGAGTTGGCCTGCACAGGAATAGGAACCTGCAGTGCTGCATTTCGAACAGTTTTTCTCTGACTTCTGCTTAAACATTTCTGTCAAGAAGTATGCAAATCCTTTCATTGTAAACTGCTTTTAAATTAGAAAAACCTTTTGCAGTTGAAATCTGCCTTCTCTAACTACCAGTCCAGGAACTGATCTCAAAGTTCCTTCTGTGGCTGCGCAGCAAGAAAAATCCTGCTCCCCGCTCTCCAGGACAGGCCTTCAGGGACTTAACGGGGGTGGCTATGGCTTCTTGTGCCTCTACTCATCTCTGGAATGAACACGGTGATCAGTGGTCTCTCCATGAACTTCTCCTTTGTTTTCTCAATATGTAGCCCAGGCTGGCCTGAACCTCTATGGAATACTCCTGCCTCAGCCTCTCAAGGGTGCTGGGATTATAGGTGTGTGCCACCATGCCTAAATATGAACTTCTCTTGTTCACCTCCTTCCCATCCTGGCAGTTCTCTTTGGAACAGCCTAGAACTGAGCCCAAGACTCAGGGTATGGTCTGAATTCAGGAGGATTGTTACTTTTTTCATTTTGGATGGTCTTCTGATAATGCAACCAAGTACAGTGGAAAGTGGTTTTAGCAGCTGCCTTACACTCTAGGACTCTACTGAGCTTCCTCAATAAAGTATTCCAACAATGTATGTCTTGGAAAACCCGAGCTTGCTTTTAGATCAATTGCTTCTATTTTCCTTTCTTCACTTTTAACTTATTTTTAAAAGTTGTTTTTAAAATACATACTTTTCATAGTACACGTTTGTGATACACACATTTATCCTGGGGAATTAGTGCATATACACATTGCTCCCCCTCCTGCCCTCTCCTCTCCTTCCTTCCCTCAACCTCCTTTCCATCTCCATGGTCTACTTCCCTGTTTCCTACTATCTCTCTTTAAATTATTTATATTTTTGGTTTCTTTTAAAAACTTCTCCTGTTTTAGATATGAATGTAAGCCATATGGTGTTGGGGTTAGCAGTCAAAGCCCTAAGTCAGACCAAGCTCAACAGAAGTCTGGAATATCCCACTAACTAGTAATATGACCTTGAACAAGCTGTTTTATCCTACTGGGCCTCAGTTTCATCATGTGTAAAATGGGGATACTGTAATAAGTCCAGACAGTAAAAAGATTCTTGGGGGAACTGAATGAGATGATATTTATAAAGTGTATAGTGTAATACCTGACACTGAGTACTCCAGAAATGGCATCTGTAATTGATAACATTATTTTATTGTTATTTCTAATAGTACTGCCATAATAAATAGTATAGTATTGCATTATTATAATTTTATAATGGTTGCAATAATGATCTAGTCCTAAGGAGTGGCACACTAGAAGTTGGAAGTTCTGAGTGCTGCCGCTGGCTTGTTTTGTGTCTCAGCAACGTCGTTAACCTCTCTGAGCCCCCGTTCTCACCACCATCACCCCGTCTATCAGCATCACCTGCTGTCCCTGTCTCACAGGATTCTGATAGTCCCCTCCCGGGTACTTGAAGGAGCAGGCATATTCGGAACCTCTTTCTGAATATTGAAATGCTGAAGAAGGTGGGAAATGTGAGCCTCTTGAACCTGGGTCAAGTGGGCACGGAATGAAGGCCTAGTGTGCTGAGAGATGCTGTGTAGAAAAGCAAGCGGGGCAACACTGGCCCTGGTACCTCTACCCAGAGTCGGCCCTGTGTCTTGCAGCCTCTGAGACTTCTCCTCCTGTCTTGCTGCACTGAACACCTTCCTTATGCATGCACTACATACATGAACATCCACGCTGGCAAGGGCTCGTGCCACGCAAACAGAGACCCCGAGGAGTACCTCCACACACTCTAGGCAGGGAGCCATCAAAGCTGATTAGCAAATTCCCCTTTAAGCCACACAGGGAATCAGTCACCTACCGAGTAGCTGTCAGTAAATGATCTGAATTTACGCCTTGCTAAGATCTGAGAATGGACCCCAGGGTCAGTAACCCTTCGATCACACCAAAGAAGGAGTGGCTGGTGGGAGAAAAAAGCTGCTTCATCATGGCTATGAGCAAACGCAGTGCTAGGGCTTAGCTGGAGAGAACTGTACTGTGACACCAGTGAGCGAGCCAGTGCCCCATCTCAGTAGGGTGTTAGAGCTCTGGCCCCTAAGGTTTAATTAGGACTGTCATCTTATGGAGAACTCTTAGCTGCTGCCCAGAGCTGGTGAGCCTCTCAGTCAAGCATGTGGTACACTTCATGGAGAGACCAAGAAACTCTCAGCATTTTAAAGAGACCCAACCTGTCACCCAGCACTTCTCTTTCAGGACTGTTCTTTGCAGCCTTTCTGGAAACGCGCAGGTAGAACTGACTAGCCATGCTTCCTCTGCACACTTCTAGCACAGCTGCCTGACAACAACTGTCTGTCCTGCCACACTGCAAGTGTAAGGAGTGCAATCAGGGTACACCCTCGGGCCCAGCCACACCACCGTGGCGCTGCACCGCATGCCCTCCCTGCAGGGCCCTCAGGGCACTGTTCTTATAGTAACTGTACTGTAGTTGTCAGTAATATAGTTCTTTTCGCCTCCCTTTCTTCAACATTAGCACCTGCCTGCTCTGTGCCTTCCACAGAGGTAGGTTGCAGGGATACACAATTTAAAACATTTCAGACACCAGCATTCAAAACGAGCACCCATTCTCTCCCCTGAAGGTAATGAGAATGAATCATGCTTCACCCCCGCAAGGGCAAAGCTATTTAGTCATTGTCAGTCAGGTTTCATCTTTATAGGAATTAGTCGAACTTTTTCCAAAGCAGAAGTCACTTTATATGCCCACCAGTAAGTAGTATGTGACTTCCAATTGCTGCTCAAGCTCTGATCAAGTCATCTGCTTATTTTTGACCACTCTTAGCATTTAAAGTGATGTCTCCATGAGGCTGTAGCTTAAATTTCCCCGATAAAACATGTCTTAAAGGATCCTCTCACACGTTTATGGAAATTTGGATATACTCCTTGGAGAACTGTCTGCTCATGTCTTTTGCCCATTGAAAAAAACGGATTCTTTGCCTTTTAATGACTGAACTATAGGGGCTCTTTGTACTTTTTACGATCTATATCTTTTGCCAAGCTCATGTGTCTTATACAGTAGAATGGCCCATGCATTTTCCTAATGTTACCTTTCGATGAGCAGAAATTTTTTATTTCGATTAAGCCCATTTTATGAGTTCCTTTCTCTTGGTGTTGTTAATTTTTATGAACTAAGGAACTTCTGCCTACCAAGAGTTGCAAGAACACTGCTGTATATTTTCTTCTATGAGCATCATATTTTTAGTTTTTACATTTACGTCCATGATCAATTTCAAATTCTCTCAATGCCATATTTGTGATAAAGTTTCCACGTACTGCTTTTAAGCACTCTATGGGATTTCACCCATGTATTTTTCTTTTCTTTATATCAATAGCACACTGTCTTCCTTACTACAGCTTTTTAATCATTTGTGACACCTTGTGGGATAAGTCCCTCCACTTTGTTCTTCTTTAGGTGGATATTGGCTACTCTTGGCTCCTTGTACTTCTGTAAAAATTCTGCAGTCACTTTTTAAATTAACACTTCAGGTTGGAGCTTTCACGTCAATGCAATTACTGTTAATATGAATTCTAAATTAGTAAGAGGCCACATTTGAGTTAAAAAATAATTTCTCAAGGAATTCTACATTTCATACAGAGCTCAAGCCAAACTGAAAATGTCTTATTGTCTCTGCGCACTGATAAGTGTATCTTTCTAATAGTCTCTTACATTGAGTGCATAGCGTTTCAGTGGCACTGTATTTATAGGAAAGATTTTTGTATTAATTTTCGGTGGCTTCTGAAACAAGTGAACTCAAATTTGGTGGCAAAGCAACACCAGTCTGTCCTCACCCATGTCGACACTGGAACTCTCAAATCACTTTCACTGGGTTAAGGTCAAAGTGGCAGCCGGGCTGCACCCCTCCAGGACTTGGGGCAGTAGACCAATAACCCAGCTTCAAGAGCTACATTACTTGAATTCCTTGTTCACTGGACCATTTTCCTGCTTTGTCAAAGGGAACAACAGAGCATCTTCTGGTTTTTTCTGCTTCTATCATCATCTGCTTTCTCTGTATTCAACTACTTCTTCACTCTTAGAAGAAAATTTGTGGTTCCAGATAATACAGGATAAGTCCCCTAAGTTCAAAGTCTTCACTTTAATCCTATCTGCAGAGTTACTTTTGTCACACAAGGTTACATGCACAAGTTCTTGGGACTTGCGACCATTATTCAGTCTATAGTATTTTTTTCTTTTGAAATCTTGAACTTTAATTGGGCTCAATGCCCTTCTGTATAACCTTAAAATTTAAACTCTTGTTTACCAAAACCAGTAACCCATCTACTCATCTTCTTGTGACAGTGATACTATTTTATGTGATCAGCCTTCCGGTTTTCAGGTCCTTCTTCTCTTTGGGCCTCCTGAGCATTTCCTTTGATGTTCTAGGCACTCAGATGTTAAATTACAGAATGTTTTCTTATTTAGATTTTCCAGGATCTTGTTGAGGAAGATTTTTCAGGCTTTTTACTTTGTTGTATTTCTGAAAATTGACACCGTTACCTCACTCCCATATAGCTTCTGCTCCCTGCGTTTCCCTAGAACTGTTCTTTCCAAGATCACTAACATCTAAATATATCACCGTACCCCGCAGACAGACGGTTTCTGTCTGCATCCTACATGAACTCACAATAGGATTCACCCCAGATGATTATTTCCAGCTTCTTAAATGCTTTCCTCTCTTGACATGTATGAGGTCATACTCTTTAGGTTTTTTTCCCCCTGCTTTTCAAGTTATTCTTACTCTTCTTCCACTGCTATTTCCTCCTAGACTGACCTAAAGTATCACTTCTCTATGAAACAACATGTGCTGTTTACTTAATTAATGACAAAAGTACAGCTTTGGGATATAGGAGACGCCTTTTGCGTGGGTACCCAGTACACCAAAGTCTAGGCTTCACGGCCTCCGTTACCAAGAGGCAGCTTAGTAGCCTAAAAGAATTAATTAATATTTATCTCCTAACATCATGCAGTGAGAAAAACAGGCAGAAAATGTTTCATATGTTTTAAGTCTCTGAGGACAAAGTGCTAATTATATGCAAACCTCTTCCTTGACATCAGTAAATTCCCATGAAAGGAAGTTTCTGTGTCGGTGCAGCGGAGAAACACTTCAAATCATGTACAGCCTTTACTAAATATCAGCTAACTCATGCTTTCAAAAGCACCAAAGTCAGGTGCTCATTAAAAACCTATTTTTTTAAAAAAAGCCCCAGATCACGTCGCTGTTGTCAGTTTTGTTTCCTCCCTTTACTTTCTCCTATCTGCACAAAAAATTCCTCTCTTTCTCACTGAAGGTTCAGTTCCTTCCCCGCAACTGTGAGGGGTATGCCTGCCCGAGACAAGAGACAGGAGGCTTTTCAGTAATTTTCCTACTTCACCATTCCTTTCTTCTTCCCACTGCCTTGTTAAAAATTCAGTTGCCTAAAGCCAAAACAACACCGAGGTTCCATCCTTACTCTTCCTCTGCAGCTGTTTCCTCCTAGACCTGACCAAAGGTATCATCAAGGTAAGAATGGCTATCATCAAGGACTCAGAAAACAACAAATGTTGGTGTGGTTGTGAGGGAAAAGAAACACCTGTACACGGCTGGTGGGGGTGTAAACTAGGGCAAGCACTATGGAAATCAGTATACAGATTTCTCAGAAAACTAAAAATGGAAAATTCCGTTTGACCAAGCTTTTCCTGTCTTGGGTACCTTGCTGAAAGAGCTAAAGTCATCATGTTACAGTGACACATGCATATCCATGTTGACAGTGGCACAACTCATAATAGCAAAATGCTGGAAATGCTTTGTACGCCCATCAACAGATGAGTGGAGAAAGAAGTGGTGTATGTGCATAATGGAATACTATTCAGCCAAAAAGAATGATAAGTTTGAATTATTGTAGGAAAAGGGATACACTTTGAGATTGTATGAAATAAATCACACATGGAAGGTTAAATATCAGGTTTTGTATATGAGAAATCCAAAATACATAAGTGATTTAAGAACAAAATTAAAGAGAGATGGTAGGATAAGGAGAGAAAGACTTTAAGGAGCTGGGAAGGGGCTCTGGGGAAGAATTGCTGGGGAGAGAGGGGAAAGAGGGAGTAAAACGATCAGTGAGCAATATGCACATGTACCGATTCCCCAACAGGAATGTAATTATATAATAAAAAACCTGAAAAAAAAAATCTCAAAATCTGATGCCTCAGGTGCTACCTCTGGGCTCTGATGTTGCTCCTGCCCCTCTGGGAATATTTTCTCCACCTTTCTTGCCTCTACCCCATGTTCTCGGCAGACCACACAAATGTCTCTCCCCATTCCTCATAAAATAGCACTTACCAAAGACCGTGCGCGCAGGGACAGACTCTCTGTTGAGCCAGAAAGAGACTTGTGACAGAATGACAGTCATGATACATGGCAAATAGGTCTGGATCACAAAATAGCCAATTTTGCGCTTGAGATGAAAGTGGGTTGTCATGACGACATATTCTCCTGCAGAGAGAGTAAAATTTGTCGGTATGTAGTCATACAAACATCGCTAAAGCAAGTGTGGCCCTACTACAGCCAGTGAGGTTCCTTAATCTTACATTCAACACAAGACACATTGGAACCTCCCAAGCTCATGCAACCAGAGGTCTTTAATAATCATAAAACTGTGCTTTGGGTGTGAAATGTTAACTGGCTGCAAATGCAGCTTGCTCAAGGCAGTTTTGACACAAGTACGTTCAAATAAATTTGATATTTCTATAAATAATAATTTAGCAATAATTATTAAAATAAGTAATAATATTTAAATAAAAAATAAGAAGAAATAATAGTCTTTTCTAGAGTAGTTGCTCTGTGATGGATGCTTATGTTGACCTTTAACTTTATTAAAAGATTTAGTTTTCACAGCAGTCCCATGAAGTAGGTATTACTGTTATCTTCATTTTATAAGTCAAGAAACCGAGATAAGGAGAGATAAAGGAATTTGCACAAGTTTACCCAGCTAGTAAGGAATGGACCCAAATTCAAGCTCAGATAAATTGCCTCCTCAGTAGATGCATTTTGCGCACCGTGCTCTGCTGTTCTAATGTAGTTATTCAGTTAAAATCAAATGTTTGCGTAACAGAATGTAGGCCGACCCACATTACCTCACTTCCCAAACAGCAGCAGCCTGGCAAGTTATGTACTAATTGGTACTCTGTGAAATCCAAAAGTCAAGCCTCAGGTTTCTGGATTTGTCAGTAGTATTTTGCGGAGCTGACTCGTCCATTCTCTTAGAGTCACTCTCTTCACAGAAACTTCTAGAAACCAATGCTCTTCTTGGCTCCATTCCACTTCACTGCCCACTCCTCCCCAGTCACCTTTTCTGGTCCCCTTTAATTTCTAAATGTTGGATGACATGCAGACTCCGGGCTTTGACTTCTCTGTCTGTCTCACTTACTCCCTTGAGTTTTATCTCCAACCTGTGTATTTAATACATTAAATGATAATGACTCCTGGGTATATCTTCTGCCTGGACATCCTACTTGTTTTGGGTTGAATTGTGTCTAGGAAGACATGGCAAATTTTCAAACCACAGTAATTCAGAATGTGATCTTATTTGAGAAGAGGATTATTACAGATATAATTATGGTAATACCTCAGTTTAAGAATGCTGCTCTTGAACAATTCAGTTTGCAAACAGAAGCATCAGCAAAATTTTACTTCTGTTGGTGAACTGCACATTGGGTGACAAACACAATCATGGCCATCTTCCCCAGAATCATGGGAAGATGAAGTTTGTGAACCAAGGCACCAGTGTAAGTAACGTGAGGCCATCTGGAGTGAAGTGGGCCTTAATCCAATAGGACCGATGCTCTCAAGAGGAGAGAGAGACAGAGTGCAAACATCATGAGTGGCAGCAGCAGAGGTTGGGGTGATGGATCCACAAGTCAAGGAGCACTGTGTATTGCCAGCCTTCTGCAGCATCTAGGAAGAGGCAGGGGGCAAACTCTTCCTCAGAGGCTCCAGAAAGAAATAACCCTGCCAGTGCCTTGATTTCTGAACTTCGAGCCTCTAGAGCTCTGAGACAATGAATTTCTGTTGGATAAACTTCCCAGTGTGTGAAACCTCACTAAAGGAGCCATGGAATCCCCTACAGACATATATATATATATATATATATATATATATTTGATCACCTATTGGACGTCATTGCTGTGGAATCTAATGTCCAAACCTTGGCTTTAACTCTTCCCATCCCTTATCTTCCTCCAAAATGGTCCTGCCAATAGATTGTCCCATCCCAAAAAATGGTAGCGCCCAAATGCTTAGGCCAAAATCAAAATCCTCTCCGGTATGTGTGCGCACACATGTACATGTACATATACATGCATACACAAAAAATGCAATCAGCAAACTCTTCCTGCTTTTTTCAAAATATATCCATAATTTTGACCTTTCTGACCAGCTTCAGGTCAACCCCTCTCGCCTAGAACCCGGTTCCTGCTTTCTCCTGCTTGCCTTACCCTTGCCTTTGCCACCTCTTCAATACATTTTTAGCCCAGCAGCCCAAATGATCCAATAAAAGAAAAAAAAATGAGAAAAGAAAGAAAAATGGGAACAAAGCTTTTGTTTATAAGGAAGACAAGAGAGGTTGAAGGGAGGGTAGGGGAGTGGGAGAAAAAAAGAATGAAATTATACCATGTACAGGTAAATTCCCTATAATGAAAGTGCTCATATGTATACCTAACATGTACTAATGAACTTAATTTAAAAAACCCTTAATTCAGATCCTGTATCTTATGTTGAAGACCTTGCAATGGTTTATCTTTTCTCAGAGACTAAAAGCCAAATTTCCCCAAATAATCCCCAAAGACACATAATACCTAACTGCTGGAATAGTTATCAGATCTTCGTTTTCACCTCTCTTCCCTCCACCCACATTTGGCTTTGGCAGGATTCCCAAACAAGGCAATCGAATGAGGCAATTTCCCACTCTTACCCCACCCACTCCTTTGTACCTAAGCCTAAGAAGCACCATCTGGCCGCCCAAGGCTTAGTATGTAATCCATATTCCGTTCGTGTTCACATCTTGTTTACTTGGTCATGAGAAATACTCATAGGCTAATTTGTAATTTAGCAAAGGATCTGATATAAAAATGTGGAATGTTTTCCTCAATACAACTTTGTAGTTCCCTTTTCCTTTCCTTCTGCTTTTCTTTCATTCCCGCCCCCCTCTCCTCATCCACACTTACCCTTTTCTCTCCTCCTTCCCTCTCTCTCCCCACTCCAAAAAATTGAGGACTACTTTTTCCTGAATGTTGGACTTTTGTTGGCTTGGGCAGTTGCTCCCCTTCCCCGTCTTAGTCTCATAATCCAGAATCCCTATTATTAATCCTATCTTTGATCATGTAAAATATTTACTGTATAAAATATAATAAATTTTATTCATAAAGCAGTTACATTCTGTGGATCTGAAAGGAAAAGCATGTGCACTTTTCAAATGCTTATCAAATTAACCATTTGTTTTGAATAAATGAATCTACCTTTCTTCATTCTTTTTCTTTCTTTCTTTCCCTGTCTCTCAGCCTTGCTGTCTCTGCTTTAAAGAAGCAAAGCAAATTCTCCTTATTGAGAACTGAAGCCTTTCACCTGGTTGGAGAGATTTCCCCTGTCCTTGCCCTTTTACTGGAGACTGCCTGTGTCCAAGGGGAAATAGTCAAAAGGATGGTGAAAAGCCACTTTTGTATATTCACAGGCGTCCACATCTTAGATAGTTTCTATGGTGAAAAATTACAATTGGATTTTTTAAAAGCCTAGCAAATTAATTCGTTGTATCAGCTGACTGAATAGGTTCTTAAAAAAATACAACTCAGATATTTGTTATGTCTCTAGACTTCACCTCTGCGGATGTGAGAACTGACACTTGAATCCCACTGGAAGATTTTTCCGTCTTCTCTTGTGCTGTTTTCACCCTCATGAACCAGTTTACTATGCTTATTAAGTACCATCTGTGTTGTGTGTGAAATATTCAAAGGTATAATATAAAACACAGCATCATGCATATGTAGTGACACAGAAGTTATTACCTATGGATCAGAAATGCAGAACAGTTTAGCAAGTTGACGCTGCACCTAACAGAAGCAGACTGTTATGTCCCCGCCATCGCTGCCTCTATTGTAGCCTCTCTCTGTGTTTCTTATTGTGAAGGCTGGCCCTTGAAGTGGTTTGGGGGACTTTCCTCCTGCCTGTGCACTCCAGCTCCAGCTTATTAAGCTCCATCTGCGTTAAGTGTGACGTATTCGAGGTTACAATGGAAAGCACATTTTCAGCTTAGCTAGTTTCTAAGGTTGTGAAACACAGAAGAGGAGTTTTACAATAGTTTGGCAAATTCACTCATTGTACAAAGTAGTGAGTATATTTTCTTCAGCCTCTTTGGGGTTTTTCCATCTCCCTATCTCTGTTCCTTCCTCCATAGCTTGCCTTCCATAGTTTTTAATTTCCACCTCTCTCATCTATCTCCATCCCCTCCTGTTTTCTGTTTTGTCTTTTTTTACCTGTGCTACACATCTAGAGGTTATATACACAATGACAATAACAAGAAAACTATCATGCTAACAAGTGAACACATTTCTAGGAATGATGGATAAATAGGAATGTGCATTCTGAACTTTCCCCCTAGAAATTAATGCACAACTTTGTCAAATAAAGAAAAACAAAATCTGTGCTGAAAATTAGGAATGGTTTCAACAAACAGCCGCGGACATTGGAGACTTAGGTTCATTTATTTAACACATATTTCAGTCTGGAGCAAAGTGCAGGTGTCTGTCCTTGGAGCTGCTTCATGCCGAGAACTGACAGCATAAGAGAGAGAAAGCCAATCCTTCCAAACTCAGCTCCCCATTCATATTCTGGGCCTTTTATGGAGAAATATTTTTAGGTTTTAGAAGGGAATGCCTATAATTTAGAGTCACAGTGAAAACAATATGCATATATGTGAAACAATAATATTGGCATGGTTCCTAAATCGAGAGGTAGAGCATGCGGCAAAGTCTCTTGTGTCTTCCTAGAATATCATATATTTATGGCACATGAGATGTGATATATGATGGGTATTATATACATGCTAGTTTCACAACTGGTTTGAAAACATTTGTGTACATTAATTAAAATAACATTGTACAAATAGAGAAGAGATAGCGTGAATGAAAATAATAAATGTTGACTGGGGATGTAGCTCAGTGTACAGCAGTTGCCTTCCATGAACAAAGGGCCCTGGGTTTAATGCCCAGAGAAGAGAGAGAGAGAGAAAGACAGAGAGAGAGAGAGAGAGAGAGAGAGAGAGAGAGAGAGAGAGAGAG